GGGCCTCCACTCTTACAAAGTGCAACAAGGAGGTGAGCGGTGCACGCAGCACACCGTTTCGTTGAGCAATCAAAGCATACGGTTCCGGTCCCCTTTCGGAGTTATTCGAAGGACTGGAGCTATCAATTGCACGGCCGGTTCGTAAATGCTTGCGCCATCGTTGTGCTTACCAGCGTAAGACAGAGCTGAATGACTGGTCACTGGTAGTTTTTCTTCATGAAAATCTTTCCCCACTCGGTGAACCACTTTGTTAAGAAAAATCTGTTTATATGTTTTAGATAAACCTGACCTTCGTTTCCGTCTCACATTTAGAAATTCTCGACGTGTGAAACACTCGAACCGACGACACGACCCAGGATCCTGACTTGTACTAACGAGACACGAGTGCCCGATGTTGCCTTTCGTCTTGTACCACGGCCGTTTTTAGTAGAAGGCCGGAACCTACCTCACCACCTAGGCCTGACAAGTTTTTTCATGTTAGTTTATTTTCTTATTGATTCGAGGATTTGAGTCTGGTTAACTCTGGGATGCACACAAATAAATGGACACACAGCTCTAAGTTAACCTCTTGCGGACGAGAGGGGACTCTCGGTCTGAGTTTATGTTAAATTTCGTTACCTCCAACCAGTAGGAACGCACTATTGGTTCTTGAAAAGGTTCCTTAACACGTTGAATGCCACGAAAATTTTACAGGGATTGTCCGTGGCGCCACGATGAATTTTCTATTATGCGATACATATAATGTTGAAATACTATCTGCAATAGATAAGTTACAGTGTATAACAATGTTTGACACGGGATCACCGGTGATCTCCGTGGCGTTGGAGTGCGATTTCGCGAAGTATTGTCATTTGTTTAAATTATACATATATATTTCTATAAATCTGGGCGCGCCGGTCACCGGTTTAAATAAAATCAAAACGACCATTTTCGGCGCCTATAAAGTGGACCGAAAATAGAGTTTTCCTGCCCTATGGCCTATTCCCATTGCGATTTCCGACGCCGGAATCCGGCTCAGAGCCGGCGAGCGAAATTTTGGCGCCGAGCCCCTAAAAAATGGGGAAGCAGTACCGTAGCGCAAACTGCGAGGTATATAGGGAATAGCGTGTAAGAAAAAATATTGCTGGGTGTCGTTCAAGGGGCCCTGCTGGGTCCGAGAGCGGCGAACCGAGAGTGGGAGAAAAATCCGGCAGCGGAAAAGCAAGAGTGAGGGAAAATCCGCCAGCCGAAAAGGACAGTCGTATACGCTTTCCTTTTCCGCTGCCGGATTTTTCCCCACTCTTTCCTTTTCGGCTGGCGGATTTTCCCTCACTCTTGCTTTTCCGCTGCCGGATTTTTCTCCCACTCTCGGTTCGCCGCTCTCGGACCCAGCAGGGCCCCTTGAACGACACCCAGCAATATTTTTTCTTACACGCTATTCCCTATATACCTCGCAGTTTGCGCTACG